AAAAGAAAAATCGTCTAATTCAACGTGATCTTTGTTATATTTAAGACAGGTATCGCAGGAGTGGATCCGCAAGGCTTTTATTAAAAGGTAAAACCACACACATACCTGATAAAATTTTTCTGTAGCAATTCGTCTTTACAATAATTTAGGGTGTTAATAATTTCATCATAAAATAAAATACAAGGTGTTCCATTTAAAAAACATACATTTTAATTTTCCAGGCAAAAACGTGACACCCTGTATATCCAAAGATATTTTTAAAATATGTAGGTATTTTTCAAATCCATATAACTTTTATTTAAAACTTTCTTGCGTGTCTACAACAAAATAATGAACAATAAAGCACTAATGAGACACCCTGTATAAATTATATTTTTAACAATGAAAATTTCTTATAATGTAGTACTTATCGGTTTGGGTCCTTGGGAAAACTAAAGAATGTTTTCTTGCAGGTATAAACCTTATTAAAACAGCTTTTGACTGCACAAACTCATTCTACTCACAGCTAAAGAGTCACCAAAATAATAACAGTACCTTTAACTCAAACAAAATCAACGAAATTATAGGCTCCACGAAATTATACAATCAACGAAATTATACGCACGACTCAACACCTTGCCTAAGTACGCTTCTGAACGCCAAAACCGTCTTTTCCCTTCGAAGGCGGAGCTTAAGCGATGCGCGACGAAATCGACGCAAACCGTTGCCGCCAAGAGAGTGTTTTAGCTGTATTGTATAAGCTGTGGTATACAGTTGAGGCTTTCTCTCATTACTTACATATCCTTCATGCTCTTACGCAAATATTATATATGTTTAATTCTTACAAAATTAAAAAAATCGAATACAAATCAACTTAATAATTGAAATGATATACATATTAGTAAACTCCTAAATAAGGACCTGCATATTTGAATTTATTTTTATTTTTATTTAAGACGACTTTAGCGCCATCTGTTAGAGAAGCTCCGAATTAACCTGTGGCTACTGTATGCAATTTTAGGAAGTTTTCTTTTATATTTTAGGCAATTATTACACATAAATGGCGATTTATAATTTATTCCAAAATTTACTTCAATGAGCTTTTAAGAAAATTGACGCAATTAATTTAGATATTTTAAGTGACATTTGTTGCTTTAGTATATAGCCTATTCAAAGAAGAATTATTTTCATCATCGGGTAATTATTACTGGTATATTTTTAGCTTTATTTCATCGTAAAAATTACCATATTTTGGGAATTATTTTTAAACGATCCCTTATAGTTAGAGACACCAAAAACCTTTATTGAACAGTAGTATATATCTATTATCGGCAGGAATTTTTTCACTTTTATCTTTGTTGTAGTTTCAGCTAAAAAGTCATTGAAAGAGCGTTGTGTATGCCTATGTTAAATACATTACCCACGGGCAGAGACGCTTGTAAAATATTATTTTAAGCCTGTATATTTAAAACTTTACTAAAGTAAAAAGATATGATTAATAATAAATAGGAGATACAGTCTCTAACCATGCGTAGCTCATTATGTATTCTACATTTTAATGTTCTTTTTCTTCGCCTCTGAAAATAATGTTAAAAACTATTCTATTTTATTTTTAAAGTGCTTTCTGATTCTGAGTCACTTTCACGGTTCTCAGCTGCTGGGTCTTTCCTTTATGGTAGTAAACAGAATAGAGGTGGTAAAAAATTTATCTGAACTATAAAATTCTTGAGTAAAATGGTACTTGATTTCTATTGTTTAATATTTATCGATCAAAGAAGGTTGATGCAGAATACACTTTGGCCAAATGCAGCCAAACCAAAAAATTTATCAGTATTGAAAAAACGAAGCTGGATTTTCATAAATTTTTTAATATTAATAATCACTGTTTATAATTGTATAGAGCATTTGGATGATCAACTCGATCGTTCTGCTTATAATTGTGTTGTTCATAAAGTGGAGCAGAAATAAAAGCATACCTACCGAAAATTAATTGAAACCCGCTGAGGACTTATTTGTTCATACTTTATATAACCTATCTGGTTGATGCCATTGCCTTTCAAGTGAAAAAAATAAAGAAATATTGTGTGCGACTATTAATTGTGCATTCTTTTGCCTGTACATTCTATATGCCTGTAAAACCAATGGCTAAAGAGGCTAGTAATATGTGCTGCCACAATACTTATACAAATATTGTAGAAACAAATTTCATATATTGTTTGTTATAATAAATTAACTCAATGAATCTTTTGATGCAGCTCACTTTAAAATTAACTAAATTGAGCTTAGGTTAATTATACCTGCATAAACTGAAATGACCATCTTTATTTTTCAATGGAATTATTGGGTCTTCCAAATAAAATGCAGCCATCAGCCAGCCCTGCGAGTTTAGAAGAATACTTTTTATTCGCGAAAGCAAAACTGCATGACGTATATTTGTTACGTAGTTGCTAACTAGAGACAGCACTTGTCGGGTAACTTTATTTTGTCTCTTTTTGGGAGGACTTATTCAAACTTTTCTCTTCCCTTGCACGGCCTTAACTGTTACGCACGCAATATAGTTACTATTAGTCATAATTCGGTTTAGGATTCTTTTCGTGAACGAAGCTATTAGAGAGTTGAAGTGATGTTATGAACGTAAACGTATACGTGTAAATTGACATCTACGCATGCGCATTTAAATATCCTTTACGTTCTCGTCTACGTACTTACGTAAGCTTACGGACTCTGCAGCAGCCCTATTCTTGACCACTCGCAAATTTCAAGGTCACTCGTAAAGTCTGACATTACGAATGAAATAGCAAATTGTGTATTCTTGATTATACGCAACAAATTCGAGTACTCGCATAAAACTGCGAGTGGGTATTATCAATCGCAAACTACTTGCGTGCGTGCGTTTAAGGAATTGACTTGTGTCATATATGTTTAGTTTTTAATTTAAGATCTATTTTTTGAATGGATACTTGTATTAGACTTACTAAAAACGTTGAAGATGCGATTATACCATGGTTATACCACTGCAGACACATAATTCGTTCCTGAATAATAATTAATTTTATATTTTAAGTGAACATGAGCTTGTGCAAAAATTTAGAATTGCAAAAGAATTGTGTCGATTTTTAATAATACACGCTCGCCCTATATGAGACCTCAGATTAAATATAACTTAACATATTTCATTTATTTAGTTAATAGTAGGTTTCTGATTTTGTAGGTTTTAGTAGCTTTAGGGTTTTTTTGCACCAGGAAGCTGTAACATGGACATTGGTAGAAGTTTATTTATATCAGTTTCCCGGGCATCAGTGTACCGATGCCCTGAAGAAATCAGCAATGCTTTAAATGAATCAGATTATTTTTAACAAATTTCCCAAGAAATTTTAATGAGCTAAATGCAGTCAGATAATGAAAACTGTCATTCCATGATACAAAATATTGGTATCGTGCTGTCATTCAGCGTGTCATTTTAATATAATTGCAACGTTGCCAAAGTGATAATGTAAAACATTCGCAAGTAATTGCGAAGGGGTCTCAAGAATCTCATTTTAGGAAAGCATGCGTAAATGAACCCTTCGCAATATTGAGTATACGTGTATTTGCTAAGGAAGTCAAGAATAGCGCTGCAGCTCTATTCTTGACCACTCGCAAATTTCAAGGTCACTCGTAAAGTCTGACATTACGAACTAACTAGCAAATTGTGTATTATTGATTATACGCAACACATTCGAGTACTCGCATAAATCTGCAAGTGGGTATTATCAATCGCAAACTACTTGCGTGTGCGTTTAATGAATTGACTTGTATCATATGCGTTTAGTTTTTAATTTAAGAGATATTTTTTTTAATGGATACTCGTATTGGACTTACTAGAAACCTTGAAGATGCGATTATACCATGGTTATACCAGTACAGAGACATAATTCGTCCCAAAATAATAATTCATTTAAATGAACATCAGTTTGTGCAAACATTTAGAATTTCAAAAGAATTGTGTCAATTTTTAATAAATACACTCTCGCCCTATATGAGACCTCAGATTAAATATAAATTAACATATTTCATTTATTTGGCTAATAAAAGGTTTCTGATTTTGTAGGTTTTAGTAGCTTTAGGGTTTTTTTGCACCAGGAAGTTGTAACATGGACATTGGTAGAAGTTCAGAAACCGATACAAAGGTTTCCCGGGCATCAGCGTATCGACGCCCTGAAGAAATCAGCAGTGCTTTAAATGAACCAGATTATTTTTAACAAATTTAACATTTCCCAAGAAATTTTTATGAGCTAAATGCAGTCAGATAATGAAAACTGTCATTCCATGATACAAAATATTAGTATCATGCTGTCATTCAGCGTGTCGTTTTAATATAATTGTAACGTTGCCAAAGTGAGAATGTAGAACATTCGCAAGTAATTGCGAAGGGGTCTCTAGAATATAATTTTAGGAAAGTATGCGTAAATGAACCCTTCGCAAGGTTGAGTATACGTGTATTTGCGAAGGATGTCAAGAATGGTGATGCTGGCGTATGTACGCAACGCAAACAACATAACCTCTTTTTAATTGGGAAAGAAGAAATCCTGATATTAATTTTTATTATATGTCATGGCACGTAAATGTCGCGATGCGTTTAACAACTTCAACTCAGATTTTTGACTTCAACGTAAACATTATTTTTCTGCGTTGACGTTCACGTTTACGCTAACGTACTGGAAATACTTCAACCCATCCTTCAACCACAGTTTATAGCTAAAGAATCAGTTCGCTCACTCTGCGTGCCGGCACTTTTGATCTCAATGTTCCAGTTTATATACTGCGCAACTCGGATTTGTATCCCTGGCGCATACAGAATCAAATCATAACCAATTCAATACATGACAATTGCCTATATTCAAACAGCAGTCTTCTGCGCATCCTGAATTTGTATCCCTGGAGTGGATATTATTTTGGAACATTCAACTGGTCCAAGTGAGCTAACGGATTCTTTAGCAATAAACTGTGCTTCAACTCTCTAATAAGTATCATTGTTTTAGGTAGCAGACCATCATGGATTTGAATTAGATATTCGTTCAATAATGACCATTATTTTTATACCGGTCTTATTACCATGTATGCTGAGGAATTTAAAATATCTTTCTCCAATTTCTGGCCTTGCCAACCTATTAATGCTAGTAGGCATTATTATTGTTACGTATTATTCGTTGAGTGGAGATTTTGCACCAATATCAGAAATAAAGTACGTTCCTAGTTTAAAATCATTGCCTCTATTTTTTGGAACAGCAATATTTTGTTTTGAAGGAATCGCTTTGGTAAGTATAATTAAAAATGTAATATTAATTATTTCTAATTAATTAATAATTTTATTAGGTTCTACCTCTTAAAAATGAAATGCGGAATCCAAGAGACTTTGGTAAACCTTTAGGAGTGCTAAATGTTGGAATGTCTTTCGTTGGAATTTTATTTATCTTTGTTGGTATAATTGGATATTTAAAGTTTGGAGAAACAGTTATGGGAAGCATCACTCTTAATTTGCCCGAAGATGAAATGTAAGTTAATTATATTAGGGGAGGGTAATTACATGCAGTGGGCAATCTTGCGCATCCATTTCCATGTCCAGGCAATCGTTGAATATCGCTGCTAATCAACACATACCAACTTTTACAACCCTGTTGCCATCCATTTCAGTTCCACGCTTGTGTTTGTTACTCGACTTTTATCATATAACATTTATGTGTGACTTAAGTAAAGGTAACTCTGCATATCTATTTAAAATTCGCTCTCTAATTCTTATAGTAAAATGACAAACAAGCTTCTTGGGAAGTAAATGACATAAATATATTGTAGAAATATTGACCTGTATTTGTTTAAATAGTTCATAAGCCTATTGAGCGAAAGTAAATGTGCCACCAAATATACCTGACCATAAAAGGTTACCGGTAAACGTGCCACCAACCAACAGGTTTCTTTAAAAACACAAAGGTATTTGTGCCACTAATATTTAGCGTATAAAATGCAATAAATTTGACTATCTCCCTAGACCCAATATCAGCGACTACTTCTCTAGAAAAATAGTCAATATTTGGTCTAGTGAAATAGTCGTTCCAAATATAACACGACCTTGATTAATATTCTGCTATTTTTTGTTGTTGCTAAATTTCTCGAACATTTTACAATTTGATTCTACATAAATCGGATTAATAATGCCAACAATTATGTCTCATTAAATTGACATTAAAATATTCTCGAGATTTAGATTCAACAAAAATAGCTGACTATTATCAAGGTCATGGTATATTACCCTTGACTATTAACTAAAACTTTATTAATATTTTATCTTTTATTTAACTTAATAAAGACATTTAAGAATTCTCAGTATCTTAAACTAACTCTCAAACACTAGGAAATTTTTTAATTTAAGGCTATTAACTGAAACATATTTAAAGCACATTAGATAAATCAGTACGCTCTTATTTTATTTTGATTAGCTTAAAATACGAAACACATTTACAAAGTCAACTCTAGATATTACATTTTTTTTAACAGTGACAAAATTTTGGCGGAATTTTCTTAGCGTACAATGGCGAAAGATAAAAAATCAGAAAAATTAACATATAACAAATAATTCTTTTACCAAGCAGTTCAATATTGTTTGAAAGGTTAAAAGGCAAACCTGTTCCTATAGTTGAATACCTTAGAAATAAAATATGAGGAAATTCGTAATTTAGATTCGGGCATATTTGAAGACATTTTAACTAATGACGCAGCAGAAGAGCAATTAGAATCAGAACCGAAAGTTGTAGATGATTACATAAGTAAGTTTCACTTCCCCAAAGAACAGAAAAATGCATTTCTTAAAAGGATTACTTCTGATGCTGGCAGCGTAAGCGCTAAGGTGGTTTCTGATAAACAGTCGAATATTAAGAAGAGGTTTAAGATCCCTAAGATAGAGATTTAAAAATATGCTGGCGATTTGGAAGGTAGGTGTGAATTTTGGGGGTTATTTAAAAAGATACAAGAATATCCTGAGAAATTCCAGTAGGTACCTTATTATGTCAACAAAACCTGGCTTCAGAACACGATATGTAGTTAATAGTTTTGCACTTTCAGTGGAACATTAATAATAATAATAATAATAATAATAATAATTAATAATAATAATAATAATAATAATAATAATAATAATAATAATAATAATAATAATAATAATAATAATAATAATAATAATAATAATAATAATAATAATAATAATAATAATAATAATAATAATAATAATAATAATAATAATAATAATAATAATAATAATAATAATAATAATAATAATAATAATAATAATAATAATAATAATAATAATAATAATAATAATAATAATAATAATAATAATAATAATAATAATAATAATAATAATAATAATAATAATAATAATAATAATAATAATAATAATAATAATAATAATAATAATAATAATAATAATAATAATAATAATAATAATAATAATAATAATAATAATAATAATAATAATAATAATAATATAATAATAATAATAATAATAATAATAATAATAATAATAATAATAATAATAATAATAATAATAATAATAATAATAATAATAATAATAATAATAATAATAATAATAATAATAATAATAATAATAATAATAATAATAATAATAATAATAATAATAATAATAATAATAATAATAATAATAATAATAATAATAATAATAATAATAATAATAATAATAATAATAATAATAATAATAATAATATAATAATAATAATAATAATAATAATAATAATAATAATAATAATAATAATAATAATAATAATAATAATAATAATAATAATAATAATAATAATAATAATAATAATAATAATAATAATAATAATAATAAATAATAATAATAATAATAATAATAATAATAATAATAATAATAATAATAATAAATAATAATAATAATAATAATCAATAATAATAATAATAATAATAATAATAATAATAATAATAATAATAATAATAATAATAATAATAATAATAATAATTAATAATAATAATAATAATAATAATAATAATAATAATAATAATAATAATAATAATAATAAATAATAATAATAATAATAATAATAATAAATAATAATAATAATAATAATAATAATAATAATAATAATAATAATAATAATAATAATAATAATAATAATAATAATAATAATAAATAATAATAATAATAATAATAATAATAATAATAATAATAATAATAATTAATAATAATAATAATAATAATAATAATAATAATAATAATAATAATAATAATAATAATAATAATAATAATAATAATAATAATAATAATAATAATAATTAATAATAATAATAATAATAATAATAATAATAATAATAATAATAATAATAATAATAATAATAATAATAATACTAATAATAATAATAATAATAATAATAATAATAATAATAATAATAATAATAAATAATAATAATTAATAATAATAATAATAATAATAATAATAATAATAATAATAATAATAATAATAATAATAATAATAATAATAATAATAATAATAATAATAATAATAATAATAATAATAATAATAATAATAATAATAATAATAATAATAATAATAATAATACATAATAATAATAATAATAATAATATAATAATAATAATATAATAATAATAACTAATAATAATAATAATAATAATAATAATAATAATAATAATAATAATAATAATAATAATAATAATAATAATAATAATAATAATAATAATAATAATAATAATAATAATAATAATAATAATAATAATAATAATAATAATAATAATAATAATAATAATAATAATAATAATAATAATAATAATAATAATAATAATTAATAAATAATAATAATAATAATAATAATAATAATAATAATAATAATAATAATAATAATAATATATAATAATAATAATAATAATAATAAATAATAATAATAATAATAATAATAATAATAATAATAATAATAATAATAATAATAATAATAATAATAATAATAATAATAATAATAATAATAATAATAATAATAATAATAATAATAATAATAATAATCAATAATAATAATAATAATAATAATAATAATAATAATAATAATAATAATAATAATAATAATAATAATAATAATAATAATAATAATAATAATAATAATAATAATAATAAATAATAATAATAATAATAATAATAATAATAATAATAATAATAATAATAATAAATAATAATAATAATAATAATAATAATAATAATAATAAATAATAATAATAATAATAATAATAATAATAATAATAATAATAATAATAATAATAATAATAATAATAATAATAATAATAATAATAATAATAATAATAATAATAATAATAATAATAATAATAATAATAATAATAATAATAATAATAATAATAATAATAATAATAATAATAATAATAATAATAATAATAATAATAATAATAATAATAATAATAATAATAATAATAATAATAATAATAATAATAATAATAATAATAATAATAATAATAATAATAATAATAAATAATAATAATAATTAATAATAATAATAATAATAATAATAATAATAATAATAATAATAATAATAATAATAAATAATAATAATAATAATAATAATAATAATAATAATAATAATAATAATAATAATAATAATAATAATAATAATAATAATAATAATAATAATAATAATAAATAATAATAATAATAATAATAATAATAATAATAATAATAATAATAATAATAATAATAATAATAATAATAATAAATAATAATAATAATAATAATAATAATAATAATAATAATAATAATAATAATAATAATAATAATAATAATAATAATAATAATAATAATAATAATAACTAATAATAATAATAATAATAATAATATATAATAATACTAATAATAATAATAATAATAATAATAATAATAAATAATAATAATAATAATAATAATAATAATAATTATAATAATAATAATAATAATAATACTAAATAATAATAATAATAATAATAATAATAATAATAATAATAATAATAATAATAATAATAATAATAATAATAATAATAATAATAATAATAATAATAATAATAATAATAATAATAATAATAATAATAATAATAATTAACTAATAATAATAATACTAATAATAATAATAATAATAATAATAATAATAATAATAATAATAATAATAATAATAATAATAATAATAATAATAATAATAATAATAATAATAATAATAATAATAATAATAATAATAATAATAATAATAATAATAATAATAATAATAATAATAATAATAATAATAATAATAATAATAATAATAATAATAATAATAATAATAATAATAATAATAATAATAATAATAATAATAATAATAATAATAATAATAATAATAATAATAATAATAATAATAATAATAATAATAATAATAATAATAATAATAATAATAATAATAATAATAATAATAATAATAATAATAATAATAATAATAATAATAATAATAA